AGTGTACAAAACGAGGAGCATTAAATAAATGGATAGTTTCATTTTTTTGCTGAGCAATGCACATGCTCTAGTTTAACATTCAAGATGATCAGAATATTAAGAGAAAGAAGAGGGGGCTATTCCACAAAGAAATCTAAAGCAACATCTAAGAAGGTAACTTGAAAAGTACCTGTCTGTAAAGCATAAAGAGTATCCCTTACGGTTTAAGTGATCAACAAAGAGCACATGGAAAAAACTGAAGTTGAATCAAAATGGCTCTGAAAACTGAGTTAATATTCTTTCCTGTAGCACCTGGCTTTGGGCACGTTTCTCTGCCATTTGTGGATTGGATCTTAAAAGTTAGGTCAAGCTTGGGCTTCCCTGGTGGCACAGTGGTTGAGAGTCGGCCTGCCGATGCAGGGGACACGGGTTCGTGCCCCGGTCCGGGAAGATCCCACATGCCGCGGAGCGGCTGGGCCCGTGAGCCATGGCCGCTGAGCCTGTGCGTCCGGAGCCTGTGCTCCGCAATGGGAGAGGCCACAACAGTGAGAGGTCTGCGTACCGCCAAAAAAAAAAAAAAAAAAGTTAGGTCAAGCTTGACACAACAAGTTGGATTCTGCTCAAAGCGCCCTGCATCAATCTCCCCCATCTCAAAATCCATGACAGGGATACTGAGTGTCTGATTTCGGGACACTTTTTTCTCTCTTTATAACTTCTAATAAGAGAGAGAAAAAAATTATAAACCAGTTTCTGATGCTATACCACAGGTATCTATTTTCCATTCTATAAGCATCTGGTCTGAAAGCAGATAATGAGATGAACAAACGTCAACAACTTAGGTGTCACAGTAATCTAACAGAATCTAGCCACTTCTACATCTCCCCCAGACTTACATGACCACAACTCCTGTTTGTGAATTAAGCAATAGCACTTATCAAAGACAGAAACACTAAGAAACCAACAATATGTGCCATTAAAGGCCCTTAGTAGAAGGCAACCTACACCTTTTAATACTCTCCATGCCTATATACTTTATCTCCTCTAAGTAGGTCATTTGACAGTTGTTGAAGGAACAGCCCATTCTTTAATCACCTAATCCTAAAATGTACTACCCTTACCTTTAAGATATCAAAGGACTGCCAGTTTAAGATATATACAACTTTTTTAGAACACAATTTGACAGAAAGTAACAAAAACTTAAATGGGCATACCAAATAACCATTCCATTTCTGGGAATCTATCCCTCAGAAATATTAGCATAAGTGCAGGGGTTATATGTCCAAGGGTGTTCCATGCACCAACACCTATAACAGCAAAAACACTGGAGACAACCTAAATTGCCATCAATAGGGAAACACCTTGCAATTACTAAATAAAAACAAAGTAAATCTGTATATACTGACGTACAAAGATATCTATTGTATACTACTGAGTGAATAATATGTATTATCTGTCATTTTGGTAAAAAAAACCATAAAAAATTATGTGTTTGGAAGTATACAGAAAAAGATGTAGAAAGATGGGAAATCCAACCGTTAACAGTATATACACCAATGGTGATTGGGGAGTGGACAAAAAGGAGAACTTATACTTTTGCCTTATATATATCACTACAATTTAGATTTTTCTTACATAAGCATGTATTACTTCTACTATTTAAAATATCTCAATTTAAAAATCAAGTAAAATAAATCATAATTTCAAAGAAATACAAATAGAGGAGTGTGACAATTTCTCTTGAACACACACACCTTTTCTGATGCAATTTGCAAACTTAATCACCTATCAATTTTGGACTAATAATAAGAAATCTGTAGCTACTGGAAGTTATAATTTTTTAAAAAGTCCTTTCATTTTACATGATCTAAATTAAAATCTAAAACACTGTACTGTGCAACTTTGGATTCATTAGTAATAGCTTATAGCATTTAGTTTAATACCCACTCTTCTCTGATATGAACCTTGTCTCGGTCTCCTCTAACAGGGAATGTAGCTGGGAGGGTGGTCTTAATTCATTTTCACCAAGTATACCCCCAGAATTCTTGACATAGTCCTGTTCTCCGCTAATGTCATAAATGCTAAAATGAAAAAAGAAAAAATTAAATCATAAAGTGAATAGTTCTAGTTCAGGCATATCTACTATATAAATAAATGTTTACTGAACATCTAGTTTGCATTAGGTACAATTTTGTAATGTTTCCCTTCTTTGTCAAGTCTCCAGAGCTAAAGGCTAAATTTGCTGTATAAGAAGTAGTAACACACATAAATTGAAGTGGTTTTCCCCCAATTCTTTAATTTCTAAAGAAAATTTTCTTCACAGAGATAAACAGGAATCAATTTTGCCTCATTGAAAAAAAACTTGCAAAATGCACAGACTATAGAACCACACCCATGTTCTACTGGCTGGAAATAATAAAATCAAATAGAACACAAATAAAACCTCTCCCCACCCCTAAATAAGTAATATTTGATTCACCCTTCATTAAACAAGACTATTAGTGATGACTATTATGTATCTAGTACTATGCTATACCCTGGATTTTATCAAGACAAACGAGAAAAAGTCTCTATGATGAAAGTGTCCGGGTGGCCTGGAGATCTTAGAATGTGCTCACAAAATACTCCTAGAGTGAGTGTGTGACCTTTGGAAAGCAAGGGCTGTATCTCCTGGTGACAGTGGTCTCAAAGAGGAAAGCAGAGCTGGAAGTAAAGACCCTCCCAAACCAGATTACACTTGCAACTTACGAAAGGAGTAGCAACAAAGGCACCATATTTTTAAAAACAATCCTCAGCTTCAGGAGCAGAGGAGGGAACCCTTAAGCCTGAAAACTGCTCTGTTGCATCCGTACACTGGGCTCAAACACATCTTCAGAGCTAGAATAAGATGAAGGCAGGGAGAGTGCATCTTTTCCTTTGTCCTTGGTGAGAAAGCTTGCCCAGAATTCTCTCTGCAGGCACCCCATTCTCACCTCATTGGCCAGAACTGAGTCACACGTTTATTCCTAAAACAATCACTAACCAAAGAGAGTGGAATTACCATAATGAGCTTAGAGTAACTAATAGTCACACAGCCCCCCACTCTCACCCGCCCAAGCTGCTCCTGAAGCATGGGATCACCCCAAAAGCTAGACAAAATTGTGGTTTGGGGGAAGGGAAGAAAAAGGGAGGTGATTACTGGGAAGGCAGTCAACAACATTATCACACTATAAGGTCTCAACAAGTTAGTGGTAGGTCTGCACTAGAATCCTGGTCTCCTGAATCCCAATTTAATTCTCCCCTCTTGACATAATGAATGATATAATCAATATTGCTACTTTTTCTAAAGAATCTTAAATATATTCACACAGTTCTACCTCAAATCCTTTTTGAAAAAAGGTGTACTATTATAAAACTATACATGCTATTTTTTGTAAAGTATACTGAATTTCTTAAATAATGAACTGCTTGCAGTTCCTCATGTATATCGTGTTTCCACCTCTGCATTTGCTATTTCTATTGCCCTGAAAATGTATACACTAGTGCCCTTTTTTGGCTTATCATTTGAATACTTACTTAGATTTCAGGTATCAGTACCTCTCTGAAACCTTTCATGACATATCCCATCTCAATGACACTGGCTGTTGGTATCACTGGGTACCCACTGTATCATGTTCCAGATTCTCCCACATATTTACAGTACTGATTTTGTTATAGATTCTTCTTCCTACCACTGGATTAGATGAAAAACTTTCTTGACTGGACCTTTATTTTCTAAATACTTTCTCACTCTTTTTGTCTAATTGTTGTGGCTATTCTATTTTTTAGGAGAGTTCTTCAGCTTTATTATCTAATCCTTTCCTGCTTCCTGAATAATTTCTCTCCTTTTTTAAAAAAAAGAATCTCTTCTTTTACGTAAGTTGTATTTTCTCTTTTCTTTTTAAAGATACCACNTGTGTATCGTGTTTCCACCTCTGCATTTGCTATTTCTATTGCCCTGAAAATGTATACACTAGTGCCCTTTTTTTGGCTTATCATTTGAATACTTACTTAGATTTCAGGTATCAGTACCTCTCTGAAACCTTTCATGACATATCCCATCTCAATGACACTGGCTGTTGGTATCACTGGCTACCCACTGTATCATGTTCCAGATTCTCCCACATATCTATAGTACTGATTTCGTTATAGATTTTTCTTCCTGCCACTGGATTAGATGAAAAACTTTCTTGACTGGACCTTTATTTTCTAAATACTTTCTCACTCTTTTTGTCTAATTGTTGTGGCTATTCTATTTTTTAGGAGAGTTCTTCAGCTTTATTATCTAATCCTTTCTTGCTTCCTGAATAATTTCTCTCCCTTTTTTAAAAAAAGAATCTCTTCTTTTACGTAAGTTGTATTTTCTCTTTTCTTTTTAAAGATACCACAGTTTACAGATACTTCTATTTCTATTCCACCCATATTCCTGCCCTGAGAAGTACTTGGTACCTCTAAATCCTGAGCCTTTTCCAGATTCTGTGGAGGGAATCGGCTTGCTTCTCTTGTTGGCTTACCTCTCTTCAGCCTTCAGCATTCTCTAATCCACTAAATCATTTAGTAATTGACCACCTTCTTTTGTAGTTTCCCAAATACTGATTTCATTTATCTTCTCCTTTCTCACTCTCTTGATCTTTGTGGATTTATATCTTTACTCTGTTACTATAATCTTAGTGGAATTTCCAGAGGAGTGTACAACTGGAGGTGTCACAGACATAACTGAAGTGTCTACTTAATGTAAGTCTTAATTTCTTCAATCAAAAAATGTGCAATATATCACCCACCATGGTAGCTACTATCACCATTATTTTTATTTTAACTTTTATAATTATGAAGACCTCATTTTATTTACTTATGTATTTATCACAGAACTAATTACATATCAAATCTTCAACAAATATTAATTTTAAAAGAATTAATTTTTAGTGTGTATTAACGCCATAACCATTCACTCAAATACATGAAAAGAACAGTCAAAGTAGATCTTCAACGATTTCTTTCAGAGCATTTATCATGGTTTATAATTACATAATCATAATTATTTCACTAATGT